TATTATTAGCAACGATGTTGCTATACGAGCAGGATGCCTGCTGAGAGAGAGGAGGAATATTTTTATTTTTAATATCAGCTGCTTTCTCTGTCAACTTTGCTGGTTGTTGTTGTTGTTGATCGCCAGTAAGTTTTTCCTTTTTTTTGTTCCTGCTTGCCCTGTGATTTTTCGAGGTCAACGCAACTTATTTTAAAATTATTTTGAAACAATTTTAATTTGTCCTCTAAGGACTCGATTAAGGACTTTTGTAGGCTGTAAGAGTACTCTTTTTCAGCTAGGAGTTTATTTATTATGTCCTGCTCTCTTTTAAGACACTCAATTTCCTTTTTTAGTACCTGGATTTCATAGTAACTTGCTGTTGGAGATTTGCACTGGTAACAAAACCACTTCGCATTTTCGGTATCAATAAAAGCTTTCTGCCAACTATCTTTGATTGAAACGCACACTTAACGAAACTATAAATTACAACTATAGCACTTTATATATTTCGGATTTACAATAAAATTATCGGAGCAGACGTCACATACGTCTGCTCCGTCCGCCATCTTTATCCTGTTTCTTTCCTAATCTTAATCCTAATTCTTTTTCATTAAAATCTAACACAACTCGATTCAGCAAAACTGGTGATGTAGTTCAGGTAAAGTTTTTGAAACGACACTTTTTAAAGTCAGTTAAAAATCATGAGTCTTTTAAAATTAAAAGTGGGAAATTTCATGCACAGGCGATAAAGCATGAGACGCACGGCGGTTTTTTAAATTTCGTCAAAGTCAGTTGAATACGAAATAATTCCCTAGGGCGTTATTCTAAAAAATAACGCCCTAGGGCATTATGATTATTTTTTCAAATAGGAAATAATTCTCTAGGGGGTCCATTTTTTCTATCTCTAAAAATAAAGGGTGTTTCCATAAGAAAGTGTCTAATTTGGATCACCCTGTACAGGGTGGGCCAAATTGGACACTTTCTTATGGAAACACCCTTTATTTTTAGAGATAGAAAAAAATAGACCCCCCACTCTGAGGCTCAAATTTCATGAAATCTTGATTGGTGCAAACTGCATTTTGATATCTTCAACCGTTTAGCCGCTAGAGGGCGATTCTCGATTTTGAGCAATATTGTAAAGTCTCCATAACTTTTTTGTTTATGAAAATAATTCATTTCCGTAAAGACCTTTTGGAAACACTTGTTCAAGTAGAATTCAGTGACGTTCTCAGTTTTTTTCTGTCTGGCTTCGATTTCGAGATATTGACCAATATCCGATTTTTTCCAATAGGACACCCTATATATTAATAGTTTATTAGAAAGCTATGCTTTCGCTGATTTCAATGATATAAGGTTCGATAGGTTTATCTCTAACAGTTTGCGAGAAAAAAAAATATTTCAGATTTTGTCATAAGAAACAATGTGTTAGAAAGAGACCTTTCTCAGTTTCCTTACAGCGATAAAGTCCTTTTCCAACACATTGTTTCTTATGACAAAAACCGAAATAATTTTTTTTTCTCGAAAACTGTTAGAGATAAACCTATCGAACCTTATATCATTGAAATCAGCGAAAGCATAGCTTTCTAATAAACTATTAATATATAGGGTGTCCTATTGAAAAAAATCGGATTATGGTCAATATCTCGAAATCGAAGCCAGACAGAAAAAAACTGAGAACGTCACTGAATTCTGCTTGAAAGAGTGCTTCCAAAAGATCTGTATGGAAATGAATTATTTTCATGAACAAAAAAGTTATGGAGGATTTACGGTATTGCTCAAAATCGAGAATCGCCCTCTAGCGGCTAAACGGTTGAAGATATCAAAATGCGGTCTGCACCAATCAAGATTTCATGAAATTTGAGCCTCAGAGTGGGGGGTCTATTTTTTTCTATCTCTAAAAATAAAGGGTGTTTCCATAAGAAAGTGTGCAATTTGTGCCACCCTGTACAGGGTGTCCAGTCCACATTTATAGGCTCAAATTTCAATAATAACTATGTACTTATTAGGGATAGCATATTCTTGTTTAGAATGATCTAAAACCCAAACGTACTAATTTTTGTTTCAATACGATTCAAGGTGATCACAACAAATTTTTAAAATTTAATGAATCAAACCGCAAAAATGTCATATTTTGAGACAAGCTTACTACAACTTTTGGTTTGGGATGTTCTAAAACTATATTGTATCAAGTTTTGTTGTTCTCAAGACCTCAAAATATGACATTTTTGCGGTTTGGTCCATTGAATTTTGAAAATTTGTTGTGATCACGCTATATTATCGTATTGAAACAAAAATTAGTACACTTAAGTTTTAAACCATTCTAAACAAGAATTTTCTATCAGATTTTTTCTAAAAAAATTCCTAATAGTAGGTACTATATAAAATAAATTATGCTGAGAAAATTTTATGGAAAGCTATTGGAAATATAAACTCAGGAAAATGGCATTATTGTCTGGAGCACCATTGATAACGATTATCCTGGTTTTGTTCATCAATGTCTCGATTAATGTGTAATAATACCTAAATATTTAAAAAGTCAATGTCTCAAATTTGAAATCCTTTAGGAACCCAATGGGGTTATCATCGGGTATACCGGGATCCCATCTTAAGCTTATTCTAGTCCTAGCCCACTGGACATATTTTTTTTATAGGGCTTCCGTAGATTCACACACACAATACTGCTTCAGCACAAAAAGTAAAGCTTCTACTCCTAATACAATAATATACTATTAATTTGAAACCTACCTTCAGTAAGTACTTTTTTAAATATTTTTTTAAGACATAAAAATCTTAGTTTCTCAAAAAACTATACCTACCATTTACAGCATTATTTCAGACTAGTGGAATTTGATTTCAAATTAATGGAAACTAAATTCACATCAGTGAAATCTAGTTTCGCTTAAATGAAAATTGATTTCAAAGTAACGAAAACTAATTTCTCACAAACGAAATTTAATTTCACATTTTCGAAAATGCATTTAAAACTGACCCTAATTTAATACTCATTTTTCAAACATTTATTATTTTAATTTTAAAAAACATCAACAACGTTATTTATTTCACCCTAATGAAATTAACCCACTGAGTTTAGATATCATAAAATACAATCATGAAACACAATTTTAATTATAATTTATTTAAATAAATTAAACTTCAGCTCCGCGAATCACGTGGAAAGGTATTATGCAGCTGTCTTAAGTTTATTTTTTTAAATAATTTATAATTATTATTATTATTAAATCATGGTATAGTCAATGAATAATTGAAAAAATATATTCTCTCTTGGAAATGTGAGGTAGACTTTTTGTTCTCCTTCATTGTATAATGAGGAAGTTGCATAAAATTTTATTTTGATGCGATATGTATTTAAAGTGAAGCAAAATACTTAAAAAGTATATTTTCCTATATTTAAATCCTCTCTATACTGAACCACTAATAAATAATTATTTATTCAAATATTGAATATAACACTGTGCGCGAAAACGCTCTCAAATTAGTTATGACGTCATGGAACGATAAATCAACAAAAGTATGGTTATGTCAACGTGAGACGGTCATAAGACGCAATGGATGAGACAGGGATCACAAAGACTCGTTTTGACGGATATCGTCTTGTGACGTCATTGATCTACGACTGCGTTTTGGCGCGAAGAGAGTGTTTTTGAATTTCTATATTTTTTTTTACAGAAAAACTATTAGTTGAAAATTCAAAATTTATGTGGCAAGTAAATTTTCAAAATAAATGAATTCAATAAGAGAAGAAAAAAAAAGATGTGCAAATTCCTCATTATTATTGTTGTTTCATGATTGTATTTTATGTTATCTGAACTCAGTGTTCTGAACGATGTGGATGTTTTTTTAAATTAAAATAATAATTATTTGAAAAATGCGTATTGAATTAGGGTCAGTTTGAAATCCATTTTCGAAAATGTGAAATTAAATTTCGTTTGTGAGAAATTAGTTTTCGTTACTTTGAAATCAATTTGCATTTGAGTGAAATTAGATATCACTGATGTGAATTTGGTTTTCAATAATTTGAAATCAAATTTCACTAGTGTGAAATAATGCTGGAAATGTATAGACTGAACGCCTCAAAAAAATTATGCCGTATTACCTGAGTTCTCTAGCCAACTTTAAGTAATAACCTTTTTTTCAATAGAGGAGTAAGTAGGTACTTAAGTAGGGAATATTGAATAACTGATTAAATTGAATAAAACTTAAGTTGATACTTTTTTTTTGGCTGCTAATAAAGCATAGAAGCCCATAGCATGACCACGGATTGATACAACAAAAGTTCCCTATGAATAATAAAACGCAAAATTTTGAATGACGATATCATATTTGATTTGAGAAGGTTGGCCTAAAGCAAAATAAAAATTTAACTAACAAAAGTGGTTCAGAATATGAAAATATGCCCCCCAGCAGAAATTCATTTTCAAAATTTCGCAAATGACAATTTTCCACTCCTTAGACTGCACTTAGGTATATGTTTTTCGAGTAGGTAGGCATACGAAAAAAAAAAAACCTAGGTAAGGTTCGTTTCACTAGGGTTCATACTTGACCTTGAAACTTGAAAAAAAAGGGTTGTCGTAGATTAATTCATATGACACATTCAATTTTTTTGACAAATTAAAATGAATGACATCTGGTTAAGAACCGACGAACGTTTTTGACGTCATTGATTTGTTTCAGTCAATTTTTATTTGTTAAACAAGGAAGGCAAATGCTGGTGGCAAGTACAAACCCTGGCGAAACAAACTTTATCTGGTTTTACATAAGTATTATATTTCTACTTGAGGCCATTCAATTAGAAAAATCGAAAATACATTTAACCAAGCACAATCGAATTCCCCAATATGAAAATGTCAAAGAAAATAAATCCATTATATATGTATAATAGGTAACGTTTGTTGCACATTTCACCACACAAAGAAATTAGAATAAATCATCATTTTTTTAAAATAGTATTATGAATGTTTTCTCAAATTTTTTTAAAAATTAGTTACTTTATCTAAACTCACCGTAAATTAATATATCAGTATCAACGTTCCAACTGAGTATATATGGAATTTAATTTAACAAAACTTTGTTCCTTCTGCAATTAATTTTCTAGCAATAAACTATGTACACTACCCATAACGAACTTCTTATCTTAAGTATTTATAAAAAAAAATATCGAGTAATTATTTATTTACTAACTAATAAAGTATATTTTTATTAGGTGCACCTTGAAATTTATGTTTTAATTATGATGTTTTTTATCAGTTATTTCTTTTTACACCCTCGCGAATGCGTCTAATTTTGTATTTCCGTTCCAAAGTCTCTCAAAATCAATTTAATTTCTATTGAAATAAGACCAGAAATGTTTATTTATTTAACATGCCCTTACATTTTCTACATATCGGCGATGTTACAAACAATTAGTATTATTATTCATTGCTGTTAGAAGCTTTGCATTTCAGAAACTTTCATATAGGTACGTAATTTTTTGTTGTTATCCTATTATAATATAATTTTTATTGCAGGTGAGTGACAGTAAGGCTAAGATGTGTTTTATGGTGAGTTGAATGTTTTTTTTTTCTATAAACAATTTGACTTAATTTTTCTAGTAAAAATAAAATAACCCCCTTGGAAAAACTAATCGAACCCATGCCTAAACCTATTATTTGGAGCATTAGTTCAAAAAAAAAATCTAATTTTCCTAAGTTTGCCCGAATGAAAAAAGTTCAATCATGCCCTAATGACAAAATCGATATTGACATGAAATTTTCCATTCCACCATGCCGCTGGCTGCCTCAAATTTTCTTCAAGGAGAAGGGTAAACATTGCAGATTTTAAGCTTTTGAAAGTGCTAGTGGAAAATTAGGAAATTGAATAATTAGTGGTTTTTTGTTTCCTTTTTAAATTAAAAATATGCAAAATCGTTTAATATAAAATATACAAATTTTCAATTTCAAAACTTTCTATTTCATGCACAAACATTAGTATTTTACCTATAACTAGAGCTTTTATCATAATGCCTCTATCTAGAAAAATGCTTAGAAAGGTTATTCTTTTGCTTTGTTTATCTACCTACCAATATTATAACCATTTTAGCTTGTTTGCTTAGGTTTTGGTTTAAACATGACTCTCTTGTTGATCTAGTGTTTTGGAGGCAATTAACAAGATTTACAGAAGCTATATATTGTTCGACTATCGTTTTAGGCGTTAAAGACAATTTTTATGATTGAGCCGACAACAAGAAAATAAAACGGAAGAAATGGTCACCTTTCATAATGGATTTTTTTCAAAACCATCGGGGATGATTTTTTTTTAAATTGTATAATTTCAAAGAGAATAACATTGGAAGATTTGTGTTAGTAGTTATACAAGTTGTAATAACCAAGTTAGATCAGTAGATTCCTCTCAATTTTTTTAAAGAAATGACGTACAAAAACCAGCGAATTCATTTGCCTTGATTCGTTCGCCTTCGTACCTATCTTGAATGTGTACCTACGGCTTTCACAGCGATTCCCTAAAATGCATATATTGATCTCGTAACAAAGTATTGTGGCTCAAACCAAAGAATACTCAAACCAAGCGAAGCCTACAATTTGCTCTTGGAACATGCGATTATTTTTGTAACTGCGGAAACCCAAAGCGGTTCCTATTGCCAAATGGAAAAACTGATAGGAAGTAATTTAGATGAAAGTTCCATTAGCCATATTGGTCTCACTTTGGAGGGGGCTTAAGTATTTATTTTGCTCCTGGAAAAACAAATAATACATTAACCTACCTACTTTCGGGAAATGGCTATTTTCATTACCATGTTTACAATGTTTGCTTAATTAATAAAATAGGTAATAAATTACCCATTCATTCAATTACCTCGATGGAAATAATTTTTCATATAAAATCATAATAATATTTCCGTATAAATTAATAAATAATTGTAGGTATAGGGCCCAATTACAGTATATTTGCATCTGCAAATTTGCATTTCTGCAAATATGGCCGCATATGCATATGTTATTTATTTGCAGGAATGAACGAATTACAGAAAAAATATGCAATTCCGTCATATTTATCGAAAAAAAGTGTTTGGACGCTACTGATTTACCAGTTTTAAATGTCAAAATTGTCAAAGCGATTGCAAGGACTTACGGGATCATTTCATCATGCGCAAATTTGCAGGCGACTTGCAAATGCATTCTGCTTCTGTAATATGAAAAGTCAGACTTGCAGGTTCTGCATTTGTATCTTGGTGTTGCAGAGCTTCTGTAATTCCGGGCATAGTCTTTTAAATACCTATTTGGAAGTATACCTTTATTCACTTATTATTGGCGTAGTGGCGTGCCATGGAAATTTTGACCCTCGTATAATAATGACAGTATATGTCAAATTCCAGACAGTTTTAAGTGCGGTTTACATAATTTCGTAAGTGCCGCGGTATTAAAATTTTCTGGCCTATCTGGCAAATCAAATTTGACACATTTTTCAATGCATTTTTCAATAATGCTATATTATAAACGGCACCTAACTATTTTGCGTACCTGCAAAATCTAATGACATTTTTTAAAATTCGGCATTGTCAAATTTCTTTCGTATTGAAGATGCCGAAAATAATTTCAGAAGAACTTTTTTTTTCTTATATTAACTAAAATGTCATGGTTATTTAAAAAAAAAAATAAACCAGAGGCTCTCCAGGGAACAATTGAAGCCCAACTTGCAGATATATTTGAGGTAGGTATAACTTAAATGTAGATGTGAAGCCATTTCTCACCCAACCAACATTTTCCTTAAATTTTAGGTGGGAACCAGGACTATTCAAAGAATTTTGACTGGACAATATACAAACAAAAAACCTTTAGGCCGACCGAAAAAGACAGAAACTATTATGGACCGAATGTTTAAAGAAGATCTACAACGACAAATTTGGAAATACAATAGGGAACAATCATATTTTTCAAATTATTGTTTTTCTTATTGCTTATGTTTTCAAATATAAAATACATATGTTTTCTTTTGTATTATGTCCTCATTAAAATAAAAAGAATATATAAAATTTCAAATTATTTCCGTTGGCGCGAAAACGATTACCTTCAAGATGTCGGTACTTGTGACGTCAACTGTTTGTAAATACAACGTTAAGGTCTGTTCTCAAAAGAGTGTCTGACACTTTGCAAACTGTCAGAGAGAATCGCTCGTACCTTCGACTGCATTGAATGTGGATTTTACGCGCGGTGTTTCTGTATTTGGCGTATTGTGACATTTTATGTTTCATTTATTTTGTTATGATTGATACAGGATTTACATTTAAAGAAGCGCAGTCTGAAAATGTTCCCTCTATAGACCCATTTATGGTGGTTCAATATCAGTCGTGGCGTGACGTGAGCTGATCGTGGACCAATCGTTCTTCAGGACCCAAGACTGAACCATGAAAGCGTGGAACACGTTCGTTATTCACGATCAGTTGTAACAGGCCAAAATTGCATAAATGATTCTTACCTACTTTCAATTTTATATTCAAGATTTCCTTAAATTTGTCAACATTTTCTCTATAAAATTTCATCAATAATCTCAACGGTTGTAGATCCTGTAAATTTTCTAATTTTCCATAGTCAAATTCTATTTGCTGTAATAGTTTTTTTCCTCATTTTAATCCATATTTTAATTCAATTCTAAAGCAAAACAAGGCAATATTTTGATTTCGATTTTAAATTCGATCATCTGTTTCATAACAAAAATAATTCATGTGTCAAAAATATTTCGTGGGTTGTGTTCCGTAATCATGATGACCCGTTTTCAAGTGGGTGTACCGTTCGTACTGACTGTTCGGTTATGGAGCGATATTGATCTCGGCGCAAATTCTAGCGTACCCCGTTTAGTCGCGCATTGGTTCGATGTTCTTTGAGACATCTTGAACGCACCACACCCTTTGATTTCGTTTCTTTGACTTTTGATTGTCAAAAATTTCTGTCAACCAGCGGTGGAGTAGTGATGTTTTCAGTATTTCGTCGATTCTTCCTTGAGCTCTCTAATTTTGAAAACGGAACATTTACTCTATTTTGTATTCTTCAAGTTTTGATTGTTTTATGGGTTGATTGTTTGTTGTTAATATCATAATTCATTAGCCGTTGTCGTTTTTCTCGGATTATATTGTTGTGTGCAATTTTTGGTAAGTGGGAATTCTGTCGATTGGTTGTTGTATGTTTGTCGTTGTTCTCGATCATCTCTAAGTCTGAATTCCTTCCTTTGGGTTAGGTTAGTTTATTAATTGAAGGTGTAACACATTTCTTTTCACATCTGGACGTTGGAGAATTAGGGTCTTTATGAAGATTGTCTTCGCCTTTGTGGGATTTCGACCCTAAATTCTCATTTGAAGTTATAACATTTAGTTGCCTTCATGCCTTACGTTTTCGTAGTGTTATAATTTTCGCCGATTTATTCGGATTTTTACAACTCCAATGTGGTAAGCTGCTTACACGTTTTTTTTCTTATAGTAGAGTCTGACTTTTTCAATTTAATTTAGTTGAAAGCTGCCCTAAGGAGTAGAGAATTCTCACTCTCTCTAGGAGATCCAATCCTCGATCCAGATTTCCAGAGATTTTCGAGGCGAAAAACCCTATTTCAACAGGTAAAAGAAACATAACCTTATAACAATTTTTGCAGGCTCGGGGCACGTTTTTCTTGATCAATATCAAAGCTTTATTATGATTCAATCTGATTTAATTAATTAATATCTTAATGTTCAATTTTTCTATTAAAATAATTTTCAAGAGCTATAGTTTTTTTTATCAAGTAAATTTGCTATTGGGAACTAATCATTATAGTTTCATTTTCTAATTCAATTTATTCATGAAGTGCTTCGCTATTAGTTCAATTACAAATACAGTGTGTATAACAGTTTTTCTCTTAGGGTCCTTTCACGAGGGTATTTCCTTTCACGAGGGTATTTCCTTTACGAGGTTATTTCCTTTCACGAGGGTATTTCCTTTCACGAGGGTATTTTCTTTCACGAGGGGTTATACTTTACCATCGAGTATATCCTCACGGTTATAACAATAGACGTTCAATTGTAACCGAAATTGAACCAAAAGGCTAACAGACACCAGCCTAAGTAATCGGACGGTTACGCAAGT